ATTTTGTACTTTCTTTTCACGGCATTACTGCTTATAACAATAACAAAGAACACTGATGCACACTGGTTCATAACATTTCGCGTGACAGTGATAATGACACATTAACAGACTCACTGCTACACTGCAGTTCACAGTAGAAACATCAACCAACACTAATGTCTTCTTTACAGCCAAAAAACTTCTCACAACATACTTCAGTAGAGTAATAATAAAATAATAATAATAATAATAATAATAATAATAATAATAATAATAATAATAATAATAATAATAATAATAATAGTAATGGTGGAGGAATTATCTCCAACCGGAAACGAGTGGTTTAAGGGAGCAGCGACCCCCTCTCAAAGGGGGGCACTCTTACTTATTCCCACATCCACTTGTACATTAGCAGGCAAAATTAGATTGAAATTAATCGCAGTTCAGATGCATGTGCGAGTGTTGGGGGATGGTGAGACCGTTCTTGTTCTCTCCTGCTGCTCAAACCCCGCTATAAGTATCTGAACGTGCCATATCATAAAAATCTTTGAAAGGGTTCTAAGAAGCAAGATCGCCACCCATCTAGATACCCATCAGTTACACAACCCATGGCAACATGGGTTTAGAGCAGGTCGCTCCTGTCTCTCTCAACTACTGGGCCACTACGACAAGGTCCTGGATGCTATAGAAGACAAACAGAATGCAGATTTAATATACACAGACTTTGCAAAAGCCATCGACAAGCGTGATCATGGTGTGATAGCGCACAAAATGTGTAATAAAGGAATAACAGGAAAAGTTGGTAGATGGATCTATAATTCCCTCACAAACAGAACACAAAGAGTAGTAGTCAACAGAGTAAAATCTGAGGCGGCAACGGTGAAAAGCTCTGTTCCGCAAGGCACAGTCCTCGCTCCCATCCTGTTTCTCATCCTCATATCGGACAAAGACAGTGCTGTGTCTTCCTTTGCAAATGACACCCGAATCTGCATGACAGTGTCCTCCACTGAAGACACCGCAAGACTCCAGGCAGACATCAACCAAATCTTTAAATGGGCTGCAGAAAACAACATGAAGTTCAATAATGATGAGGAAATTTCAATTACTCTGATATGGTAAACGTGATGAAATTAAAATTTCATTGGGGTATAAAACAAATTCCAACCACACAATAGAGCGAAAAACTAACGTCAAAGACCTGGGAGTGATCATGTCGGAAGATCTCACCTTCAAGGACCATAACATTGTATCAATCGCATCTGCGAGAAAAATGACAGGATGGATGATGAGAACCTTCAAAACTAGGGAGGCCAAGCCCATGATGACACTCTTCAGGTCACTTGTTCTATCTAGGCTGGAATATTGCTGCACACTAACAGCACCTTTCACTGCAGGCGAAATTGCTGACCTAGAAAATGTACAGAGAACCTTCACGGCACACATAACTGAGATTAAACACCTCAGTTAGTGGGAACGCTTGAAGTTCCTAAACCTGTACTCTCTAGAACGCAGGCGGGAGAGATACATGATTATACACACTTGGAAAATCCTAGAGGGGTTAGTACCAAACTTGCACATGAAAATCACTCCCTATGAAAGCAAAAGACTCGGCAGACGATGCAACATCTCCCCAATGAAAAGCAGGGGCGTCACTAGCACGTTAAGAGACAACACAATGTGTATTAGGGGCCCAAGACTTTTCATCTGCCTCCCAGCATACATAAGGGAGATTACCAATAGACCCCTGGCTGTCTTCAAGAAGGCACTGGACAAGCACCTAAAGCCAGTACCTGACCAGCCGGGCTGTGGTTTGTACATAAGTTTGCTTGCGACCAACAGTAACAGCCTGGTTGATCAGGCCCTGAGCCACCACGAGGCATGGTCTCAGACCGGGTCGCGGGGGCGTTGACCCCCGAAATCCTCTCCATGTATACTCCAGGTATTATAGATGAGTTCTTAGTGTAAGTATTCAGTAAGTCTTATGTTACGTGGAATGTGTCAGGACAAGAGAAATTAGTTCCTTGACTTAACTACGTAGTGTTGACCGGCACCCACGATTTTCAGACATTGTCAGTATTATTATGACAGTATAAGGAGGCGTGAACGACGACACGGATGGTTCTCTCTGTCAGTTTACGTCTGTCTCTAGCCGTCCGTGTTAGGCGGCAAGACTATGCATGACGATGGCTAGGCAACAAAATCCCGGGGCAGTGTTAACACCGATCACATTCATGGAAACGTAAATTCGTAGTTAATCGAGTGTCTCTGTGTCGCCTATGCTTTCATCGAGCGATTTAAGGAGAACTGGAGCAAAGATACAGTATCGAAACTGTCGCAGCTGTCTTTGTCACGGCTATAGTTTACAAGTTGAACTCATAACCAAGTGATGGTAGTCTAGTGACAAAGAAATGTAGTACCCGGTGTGTTGAAACCAATTTCAAACGAACATTCCCGAGTGACTCAACCATTCAACGCTGATTCAACCTACCTCCGATCAACCAATCGATACCAGTCTCAAAAATAACAAGGGTCCGATACACACACCCAGGTGAGTCCTATTAAACTCATATTTAACTGGTTTAGCTGCAGCTAACGGGTGGACATGGGGTATTGACTGGGCTAACCAGAAGACACCGTGACAAGTGGGCCATCGCGTACGACCAGGTAATAATTTACTCACAACCTTGCATGAAATAGTGGAATTTGTAATCCCTAGGGCAAAGAGTTACCCTGTCTACATCACCGTCCACAGCCCCGTGGGACACTGATTGCCAAAGGAGATCTTCAGACCCGCGGCTGCTGGGGGTTTGAGCTGCCAACTTACAAGTGCCCTTTTAAGATCACGTGTGGTCAATAATGCACCTGTCATACATATACAAGTTCTCACAACAATGACCATTTATTTAGGTGTAATATACTGTAATACAGAGCTTGTAATTTCAGATAAACGATCTCTAAAGGAGAGTAACTATAGGTACCAGTAAGTCTTGGGATGCAGTGTAGGTCACTGGGAAGCCTACTGAAGCTCTCTCATCAGCCAGGCTTCCCTCAAGGGTTTGGCTTTTGCGAAGAACCTGCCTTGTATAGGCCAGTGTTCTTCTGACAGGCTCATTTTCCTACCCTGCCTGGAGGAGAATGTTGAACATGAAGAGAGGGTATAAAGACGCAGTCATCATAGACAGCTGGAAATAAAGACGAAGCGGGTGACGCAAAGAATACTTCACACTGAGAGAGGAAGTATCATCAACAAGACGACAATTACTCTCCGAAGAACAGGAAACAGGACTCAACGGACTGCGCATGGAGACGTGAGTCTCTTTCATGCGCAGGTGATCTAACTCGAAAGATGCTCTCCAGATGGGACCCAAAGAAATGATAAATTGAATCGAATCGCATTAAAATAAAGCATGTAACATGCTATATCTCGCGAGAATATTGTGTGGGGTGAGTGGGCGTTGGAGGCTCTCAGTTGTTACCAGCAGGAAGTCGTAAACACTCAGTACCTTGGTATGTTAGTAGGTTTATTCAGGTACAGGTATACATAAATACAGTTACATATTATACATAGCAGCATATGTGTAGATTACGCAGGATAACAAAAGAAAGTTAGACAGTGACGTATATTCATTGGTGTCCATAAAAGTTAAAACAGCTAAGTAACTAATGAAAGGAGATATACTAGAATAATGTTAACCAAGTTATTTACATAAACATTAAAGAGAGGATCAGATCGCAGTAATAGTTACGGGAATGGTAACTGTACAAGAAATCACTCTCCTCCCTTTCTGTAGCTACATTCATTAGGTACCTTTTGGTTCTCCTCTTGAGCTGGCTCATGCTGTGACGGGCTTTGACAAGTGCAGGCAATCCGTTCCACTCCTTTATTGTTGACAGGTGCGTCATTTACGTCATACTCAGTACCTTGGTATGTTGATGGGTGCGTCTGCTACGTCATACTCAGTACCCAGGTATGTTGACAAGTTAGTCAGCTACGTTATCAGTCATTCGTGTCGTGTTTAAGGGGCCCCTCGGAATGTCGGGAACACTGACTATACATATATTTGAAACCGAGGATTTCACAATATAACTTGATGAGTAAGAGATGCCAGTGTTAGATCCAGCCAGCTAGCACACGCTAGGTTACTACAGTACCTACACCCTGTAAATGAACCCTGTAACTACACCACCTGAACCCTGCAACTACAGTACCTGAACCCTGTAACTACAGTACCTGAACC